TGTCTGCTTCGGATACTATTGAAAAGTACTATTCGGTTTCAGGGATAGGGAGAGAGTGAAAAATGGAATGTCTCATATTTGAAAAGCAATAGGAATAGGCATTGGTCTTTTTGTCTGCCAAGTTTGCCCTGACAAAACTATGGCTCATTTTTTTTTAAAAGCATATTGAGAACCCTGTTGGACAGGTATAACTTAACTGCAGTAATCCATGCACTGGTAACTTCCTGATTAGATTACTGCAATGCACTCTACATGGGGCTGCCCTTAAATATGATGCGGAAACTGCAGCCAGTGCAAAATGCAGCAGCTAGACTGCTTACTAAAACTCTATTTAGGTCCCAGTTATGAAGAAATTGCATTGGTTGCCAATTATGCTTCTGGATTGAATTGAATGTGGTGGTGATAACATTTAAAACTCTAAATGGCTTGGGAGCTTGATACTTGGGAGTTTGATGCCTGTGGGAGTGCTTCTCTATATGCCTGCCTGAGAATTGCGATCTGTTGGAGGGGACCTCTTCAGTGTCCCACCAGTAGGGCAAATACATTGTGGGATGACATGGGAGAAGGTCTTCTCAGCAGTGGCAGCCCAGTTGTGGAATTCATTTCCCTTGGAGGCCTGATTGACACCAATGTTGGGATCAGTTTGGCACCAAGTTAAAACCTGGCTTTTTATTAAAGCCTTTGGGCCTAACTGATTTTATCCAGGCTGCACATGTCGTATGGTTGCACTGTTTAAAATATTTTGTCTGGTTTTAAATTGTCTGGTTTTAATTGAAAAACTATGTAATGTATTTTTAATCTTTTAAAATTGTTATTTATTGTTTTAAAATTATTTTATTATAAGTTGCCCTGAGATCTTTGTACATTCATCCCTCCACATTTGCGGCTTTGACTTTTGTGGATTTGATTATTCACAAATTTTATTAATATGTTCTCTTTAGGAATATCTAGGTCCTACAGCGCAACTCCATGGTCAACTTTAATCAAAGTCACACTGAAGGACTTAGAGATTCCTAGAGAGAACACTCCACTAGGTATTTGTAGCTCTTCCAGTGTAATTCTGTGGTCAATGTCTGGCAGATGTTGATCACAGAGTTGCATTGGAGGACCTGGAGATTCTTAAAGAGGTGTTCTCTCAGGTGAAAACATGGCATTTTTATTATTTGCGATTTTTCCACATTCACAGGGGTCCTGTACCCCTAACCGTAGTGAATGTGGAGGGACAAGTGTATATAGCGTAAGATATAAATCTTTTAATGAAATGAAATAATGAATGAATAAATACTGCCTTTCTAGAAAGCATTTGTAACCATCTGACATTTTTCAGAGATGTGGCTGTGATGTGGATGTCCTTTGCGATAGTCCCCTTGTGATCTAAAGCTGTTGTTTTTGTTCTATGAAATTCATGGAGTCACCATAAGTTGATAGGCAACTTATTGAACATTTTAACTCTTCATGTACTCCTTGTACATTAGCCACATCAGGACTGATGATAAGCCAGAAGGAAAGAATTCTTTCTGGCTTCATAGTCACTAAAAATTAGTTTTGCACCGTTATAGTTTATTGGCCCTCTTCCAGTGGATTACAGCATTCAGGCATCAGTCCAGCACCTATACAGCTTCACCTGACTCTGATGACAAGGAGTTATCAGAGCTGGGTTATGTCAGCAAACTCATAGCGCTTAGCTTCGAAGCTCTAGCTAACCTTCCCCTTTGACTTCAGATAGAAAGGACTTCTTTGATACTCCACAGCTTAATAGTCATGGGGCTCAACAGAAATCCTCCAGTGTTATTGTCTATAGCAAGCCTGGAAGGTAGGACTGGAACCATTTTACATCATGGCTCCCTCCTACTTTAGATTTATGTAAGAGGGCACCATGGATGGAAGGGATCAAAAGTGTTAATAAATTTTAGGAAGGTCTACAGAGTGGTGTTCTTGTGTTTTTGCAAGACTGCTTTAGCCCCCAAGTATGGTCTGAAGCTAGACAGTAGGAAGAGTTAACGGTGGTCCAAAACACACTGCAGAAATAATCCAATTTGAGACCGCTTTAATTGCCCTGGCTCAGTGCTAGGGAATTCTGGAAACTGTAATTTTGTGTCACATTTAGCCTTCTCTGTCAGAGAGCTCTGGTGCCACAATAAACTACAAATTTTTAATAAACTACATATTTTAATATGTATTTAAATATTATATGATGTTTTAAAATAATAATAATAATAATAATAATAATAATAATAATAATAATAATAATAATAAAAATTTCATTTATATCCCGCCTTAATTGCGTGACAGAGGGGTGGGATATAAATGAAATTTATTATTATTATTATTATTATTATTATTATTATTATTATTATTATTATTATCATCATCATCATCATCAATACATTTCCCAGAATTTTCTAACACTGAGCCAGGTCAGTTAAAGTGGTCTCAAACTGAATTATTTCCGAAGTGTGTGCAGACCGGTGAGGATTTGAGGTTGAGGAAGAGTTAAACAATCCTCTCCTACCTTTGCTTTGCACATTTGGCAGCAAACATGGTCTTAGCAATTTATCGCATAGCTCATGCTCCTCAAATTTAACCATGAAACAATAAAGAAATAAATGGTGACACATGAACATTCCTGTTGGTGTGGTATGGCACAGACCTTTT